ATATATATATATATATATCAAGAATTAAAAGTACTCAAAATTATTTGTAAAGAATACGTTTTAACATTTCACAAACTCTACATTAGGTCCTCAAATGGAAGTTACAATGTCATAAAGCAACCACAAATACTTCTGTCAAGGCTTAATAATGTCCATGGTATGGCAGTGACCAATTGAAGGAACATTCAACTGAGAGTAAGACCATCAATCCATAAATATTTACTTCTTATGACTTAAAAAACTACATAATGAATATTTCAAAGTGACATAAATCAAAGAAAAATAATATAAGGTTTAATATTGGATTGCAAACAGTTATATGCATTTGCAATTACATAAAACCTATACATCAAACTATAGAAAATGAAATCCTTTCAATTTAACATTGCGATCGAACCATACCGGTCCAAGATTACAAATCACCTGTTCCTGTTCTTTCCATAAAGAATTGGATGAATCTGCAATTGCCTGGTAAAGGCCTGGTTAAAAAGAACTCGAGTTTGGATTGTTGAAATCAATGGCATCCATGCGAGCACTGCAATGGGTATAAAAAGCAAACCACCCATTCCATAATCATAGGCTTGAGCAACAACTTTTACTGGCTCCCATACTCCATATTCCTCGATCTTCGGTCGTAAAGTCTGTGCTACCTGGAATAAGTTTTACCTAATTTACCATTACTACAAAACCTTGAAATTATTTATGAAAAAAGACCCAAAATGCCTGCTTACAGACAACAATCCCCAGCCGGTTGGAAGAAATGCAAGGCAACATATCACTAGATCCATCACGGAGAGCCGACAAACGCACAACATGGTGAATATGCCGGCAAGCACAGATAGAAATATAAGCAGTTTCAGAAACCGATAAATGAGATGGTAATTTGTGCTGAGTCGTCGACTTCCCTCACCAACTATCTGTGTATAAATAACACAGCATAGGAAGATAAAGGTTCATCAGAAAGACATTTTAGGACAAATGAAAACATGTTGTGTAACTCTGACAGCATACCTTAACTAGTAAGAATACAGCAAGTATTACAAACCATGATAACATGTAAACAACAATGTTTTTGTTCTTCTGAGATATGTCAAGGTGATAGACCAACCCATATTGATAGATGAAGAAACGAAGGCACAGTAGTATTTCAATAATTCTAGAGCACAGTCCAGAATGACGAAGATGAGCATTCTCGGTATTCCACCACGATTCCCAGCACTTCTCTGGTTGCACGCCGATGCCGCCGACATTGTTCATCCACTTGTTCCAATCAGCCCAGTCCTCAACAATCATCCGCCAAGCGAACCCAGAAGGATTGAAAAGAAAGGGAACGAATAGCCAGTTTATGGCCATGAACCATGTGGAGTATGTGATCATCATGTGTGCTATGCTGCTCTCGTAAGACATGCTAAATAAATTATAAACTGACAAGAGGAAGATCAATTCGATTCCTTTGACAAAGTGGCTGCGAGAGTATAATTGATAATTCTCTGTGAACCCTGCGTGGAAAACTACGAACTTACAACCAGTTGGTCTATATTTGGCACCGCCATGAAGGATGGTTCGACCAAAATGGTGAGCTTTTGTTCCGAGGGAAAATGTGAAAAAAGAAGCAGCAAGTTGCAGTTGCATGAGAATAAAATTGCTCATGGCTGATAAAAATCCCTTCTCAAGACCGAGTTCCATCACCATTGGTAATCCAGTAAGAAGACCTAGCTGGAGGAAAGACTGAGTTGCAAGTACAGTTTCTAAAGATTTAATGTGCTGCAGTCGAGCGTCGATAATAAGTGCCCTTTCCACTCCACTTAAAACAAGATATAGCCGTCCATATAGGAAGACATATACAACAAAGACTGATATCTGAGAATTTTCAATACGAGGAATTGATCAATGAAAAAAAAAAGGATGATCTAAATGCGAATGAGATATAGGCTTGACCAATTTAATGGTAGCCATTGAAGACTATAAAAAAAAGATGGGAAAGATAAAATCAAATGTTTAAATAGATTCATAATCAAGAGCTGTGCCATCGGTAAGGAAACAACGAATTTGCTAAATTGCAGCAAGCAAAGGGGTTTAACATGAAAAGAACATATACAATAATCCCAAAAAGTACCAAAAACATGGGCTTTCAAATACATACTAGGTTGTTAAAATAGTATCCCACAGTAGTGAAATAAAATGAAAGCAACCGGAAGAAATCAAAGCGATGCCCAAGGCGATAAATGTCGCGGCTAAGAGTTTGTTCACCATTTCCATTTGCTAGTTTTGCTTCAAATTTGGATATCTGGTTGAGCCCAACATCACGGCCTTTTCCAACTTGCATGTATTCATGGTAAGTTACATGACCCTGACGTAGAATAGAGTTAAATCCTGCAAAGTGTTGACGCAAGTTAGCAGGTAATTACTACAACCAAAACAATTAAGCAATCGGTCCATCTTTACCAGAAAATACACCCTCGCTCAAATTGATAGTCTTTGAAGCTTTACTTATGCCACCTTGTGTTATATGAAATATCCTGTCAAATAGGTCCGGATGTCCATAGTGAAACCGTACTCTGTACATTGTAAGTGCACAAGATTAATTGTACATTTTCAACAAGCATGTGTGCACAAAAAGCATAATTTAGCAAGCATGTGAGCATAAATTTTGAGTATGGTGCTTACCGAAGAGGATTTGCTAAGAACCGCTGCCCAATAGTTACAAAGCTAGTTTCTTGGTAGGACATGAAACCAGCAAGGGAAGATATACTGAAAGCAGGTGAACACGTAAGTAGGTCAAACACAGTGTAAATGTGTAATGCTTCTATAATATAAATAATCTAAACGTAGAGTACTTCAGCCTAATGTTTTCAGTTTCTGCCATAAGAGGCTTGCAGGAGAAAAGAACAAACCTTCCTGTGAATATGTGTTCTCTAAGGCCAAGTATAGTTGGATGTGGTTGGCCTGAATGCCTAATAAACTCTTGCAGAAGGTTTCTCATCTTATAGGCTTCTTCAAAATTGTTATCCTGAAGGACAAAAAACCTTTCATGTGATAAGAATGAAACAAAGAAAGTATGGAGTTAAAATAAATTTTGTTATGTACCTGATTCATGTCAATTGCTTGTAGAGCTTCCCCTCGAGTAAAGATGATTGCATGATTTTGATTCTCAGGTTTACCTTCTCCGATGATTGGTGGACCTGGAAGCTTGATGCGATATACCTCCTATTACAGTACCGGTCATAAGCACTTGTTGAATTTCTCTAGTTGGCACAAGTGCATAAATCTATAAATCTCTGGAAAATGAACTCTGCGAGTAACTACATAAACAATCCAACAAGATAAGCATGTATAGAATTCCACATTTTACATTTTGACCTCCAATTGTTTATCATAATTCAGATCAGTTGTTTAGGTCTCTGTTTGATAAATCAGTTTGAAGATAGCCTTTCTCATTCTTAAGGCCAAAGTACATGTTCTTTCTGGAGCTCCTTGCTAGCCCTAAAAAAACTTTCCAAGAAATAGAACAAATCCTTAAAAGAACCTAAAGAGTTTACTAAAAATTCGAAGTTACTTCCCTAAAAATGTAGGAGATTCAGTATCTATTGCCTTAGATGGAATAATGACTGAAACATTTACAAGGTGCGGTTGGGTAAAATATACGAGGGAGTCCACCAAACTGGTCCAGTTCTCATGATGAAAATCCATCATTTAGTATAAGAGGAAGCTCAAAAATGGTAAGGCAAACGAACACATCAGCACTCACAATTCAATTGAAAGACAGTTTATGTGCACGTTAAGAACTGAAAAGGTTGTTACATTTAATTCCCTAAAGCATAGAACTCAAACTTCTTTTTCTTTTATTGTTCCCAGTTATGGAGGATTGGTATGGAATAAATATGAGCCAAAAAACAAAATAAACAAACATGGAAGGATACATTTTGACCAAAATGCTCACTGGAATACAGCAAAGAATAAACACACAGCATTATCAGAAGATTTCTTTTGCCAACAATGAAAAAATTAAAATGACTTGTGATAAGATTTTCCTCAATGTCCTTAAGAAATAAATAGCATTAATTAATCAGAAGGAATAACACAATCCTCTAAATATGCAGAGAATACTTGCAAACTAAACAGTTCACTGCCTGATTCCAGCTAGGTCTTCCTCATAAAGCTGCATTCTAAGTTTGAAAGTCATGGATGGTATCAAATTTCAATTTATGATAAGATCGATCCAAAGAATAAATAGATTTGGCACTCTTCAAGATCAAATCAAATGACTAAGCCGATCTTGAGTCATGGTCAGATTAGCTCAAGATCGGATTCTCAATAACAGTAATTAAGGTTGCCTACTACAATAAGGAAGAAAAAAGGAAGGTAGAGGGCTGTTGCCCTCCAAATTTTAGAAATGATCAGACGTGTATAGCCAATGTTGCCTGGATCAAGTTAAACATGTCTCACAAATCACAAAGAATTGGTTTAAATGCAAGTTGACAAGTAAATAGAATTAATTCACCACCACACAATTCGCCAAGCTATTGGACATATTTCTCAATACTCAACTAAACTCTTAATTGACAAATATCACTTGAAGTTGTTCAGGCTGCTGACCAAAAGAATTTGCCCCAACTTGAAAGCTACCCATCACTAGCTAAAATTGAAGAAATCAGAGACTTTGTTAAAACTCAATCTTCAATTGGAATTCATTAAGAGCACTTTAAGTACTTTTATAGGTTATAATCTAGCTAGGCAATCACTTCAATGCAAAGAAAAAAAAAAACAATAAAAAAAAACATGTTCAGACTTGACAGTTATTTTACTTGCAGCATTCTCTATAGCACTTTATGTTGACCAAAAACTATAAATAAGAGCGAAGGGTATGGCAAAGATACCAAATTATATCCCCATATTTTTACTTCAAGGCAGCAATAGTGAAATCTCATAGCATCATCCTCTTGGCCCTCTTTTTCTTTTTCTATTCTCCTTAGCTTGGTCCATACTTCTTAGTATGGCTATGGTATTACCCACAAACAAATTTGGATCTAACATAACTTTAGTTGGGGTGATCATGGACAATATTTAGACTAAGAAATTGAAAAACGGATTGCTTAGACGAAGGAAGAGGATCAATGCAAAAGCAGCATAAGAGCAACTCAATCACATGAAAGACTGACAAAAATAAAATGAGGAATCACAAAGTGCATTCAACGCCCTTTCTGAAAACATCTTTATCAACTCATGAAATCATCATACTTCACTTCTCGTCAGAAAGTTATATTGAGGGATTCTCATCATATAAAGTATGAGGCAGAACTTTTCTCATCCCACCAACCCAAGAAGGTCTCTATTAAGCCAACCAATGCCTTCTCTATTAAACTGCATAAGTTAAGCCTCCACTAGCTCAAAATACATTTTCTGGAAGCTTATAAAGAAAGTCGGATCAAGCATATCGTATTACTTAATTGAAGTTGACAATTTCTTTCCACGCCATAAGTAATGTTGTTCAATATTAGCTACTCTTTACAACATGTGAAAGAGCATTATTAAGATGGTTCTCTAAACTTCATCACTACATGTCTTATTAGAATTCAAGTGATTTATTATCATGCAAAGTGGTAATACATAAATAATTAAAGCTAGCAACCTCTCTGGATGATTAGATAAGAGCCAAATGAATTTTTCTAGTGCTTTATCTTATGTTTCCAACATGTCATATTATTTTTTCAGAATTAGGAACATGTCGCCTAAATTGTAAAGGACCATTTAGATATCCACTCATATTGCAATAATCAGGATTCAAAAGTTGCAGAGAACTATGAAGCACTGTCGGCAACTTTTTGATAGATTATTTGAAAATATGGTATATGAAAATAATTTTTGAAATTTAATTTAATATAAAAGATATATAGTTTGGGTTTTGAAAGTAGTATGTTTTAATTTTTGAAAAATGAGACCAAATGGATCTTATTCGTCCAATAGTTTGCATAATCGTGTCTGATACCGCGAATACTACACCCTCCCGAAAGATAAGTGTAGAACTCGGCAATAGACCCAATCCTGCAAACTAAGAGATTTGTGACATCCGTTTGGTCTACGAACCTTTTTATGTATGACCGACAAGTTCCCCTATCTAATATAATAATACAAAGATTAAATAGGGTTTATTTTACCTAGGTTTTAAGTTTCCTATAAAGACAAGCCCCTATAGTTAATTACATCTCAAATGATTTGAGTCACTTGAGAAAACTCTCGATAATGATCAGTGGTTCTAGTTTTCAAGATTTCAAGGTTTAGGTTTTCACGGTAGGACATGGAAAAACAAGTGGGAGTGGCTCAAGTAGGAACAGCTCTTTCAGGAGTTCGGGTAGGGGGCGTCACAGATCTTAAGGAGGAATCTCAGTGACTTCCCAAACTCTTCTACTGTACGGCTACATTTTAGAGGAGATGTTATTTGAATGTTCAATCCTGTCAATTTTATTATTTGGGACTTACGAATGCATAATACTCGATTATGCAAATAGCCCGAAGAAATAAAAGGGTTTACGTCGTGTCACCGGAACCTAAGGCGGGTTAGGACTTACGCTGCACAACATGGTTGTACAGGAGCCTAAAAAGAGAGTGTGAGGATTTACGTCGCGCTAGGCGAGCTATCTCGAAATCCTATGGGTTGTTATTATGCTAGAAAGAGATAATGCTGAAGAAGATCTTCTTGTTGCTCGCTCCAAGCTCATCGTCGTGCTGCTTACAAAGTTGGCTCCAAGCTCTTATCGTCGCGATGGCTCCAGGGTTTAAGTGTTTGAAAATTGTAGTTTATGTTTCACAATTGTAGTGTCAATGTTTGGTTTCGTTTTGTTTCAATTTTGGTTTTGCATGCAGAGTAGTCAAATTACAGGTAAATAAAAAGTACTTGAAAGGTAAAATACAGTAACGTAAAATGCTGTAGATAAACTGTAAAAGCGTACATGGACATCTGCTATTGTTGCGTTATTAATGTTGCGAGCATAATATGATTTGCAGCAGATTTAAATAAACTTGCAAGAAAATTAAACAAGACGAGAAAACCCAACGCGAAAGTCAGAAAAATGAGTTGTAAAAATCACAAGCAAAATAAACCTTTAGCCACATATGAAAGATCAGGACTGGTATAAGATATTGGTAAAAGTGGGAGGCTCAGAGCTGGGTTGTGTGCTTCCCGATCTTGAACAAGAATTACCAGCCCGACAATCTACGGAAGGTAGTCCTTAACCTCAATTCAAGTGACTAGTCGTGGAACAATGCAAAAGCTGTTGTTTAAGTCTTTTTTTATGCAGAGTTCTTTTTAACATGCAAAAGAAATTCTTTTTTTTTATTTTTGTAAATATTTTGTAAAGTCGTATAGTCCACAAGCTAGTCACTCTAATCGTGTTAGAACTACTAGCAACCTAAGAGTGTCGGGGGAAACGATCCCACTAATAATCGGCGAATAATATCATGGATCCTTCCCTCTCTCTTATTGAAGATTCTTGAGGCAAAAGATACTATTCTAAAAAAAATCTCACTTTGCATCCCTCGTTTAAGCACACAAAAGCAATTTCGTCATCGCCCTCGCCACCTAGACCCTAGACTTATCCTAATACGGTGATCCATATGTGGCATTAACAAATTTTCTCAATTGCCAGGAGAATTTGAGTGTAATATCAAGCTCAAATCCCGGTGCACTGGGTTTTACTATAGGTTAAGTCATGACGAGAATTCAACTATTGATTTAATTAAGAAAGCATGAGTCACGTCTCGGTGCATCATGTCTAGTGTCTTAGTCAGTTTGTGAATTAGGGTCAAGTGTCTAGTTTCACTGTGCATTCGAGGATTAGGTGAATAGACTCATACCTAAGGTATGCTCCTAAAACCTTAGGAGGTTACACTGCAGAGATTAGGTAGATGGGCTCTCACCTAAGATGTGCTTCTAAAGACTAGGAAACCTACACTGATGATTAGGTGAATGGGTTCTCACCTAAGGTGTACACCTAAAGTCTAAGAGGTCTACACTGAGGACTAGGTGGATGGACTCTCACCTAGGGTGTACACCTAAAGTCTAAGAGGTCTACACTGAGGACTAGGTGGATGGACTCTCACCTAGGGTGTACACCTAAAGTCTAAGAGGTCTACACTGAGGACTAGGTGGATGGACTCTCACCTAAG